TGAATATTCTACAGGAGTCAAATCTATTAGGTACAATTGAGGCCATGGCTCGGAGTTGGGCTGCTTTTATATTCGTGTTTGAATTTCATTTGGCATAGTGGATGGGAACCCTGTAAGGGGCATAGTTAACGGTGCCAATGGTGAACATAATGTCAACTAGCTGCCTCTGCAATGATGTCAGATAGACGTAACATCTGGAATGAGGTTGTGCCATATTCCTGCTTCAACCAATTTATGTTTCCAGTAGAGAGACAGAGTTTGGCGAAGAAGTTCCTTGAGCAACTCACACGTTAACGTTCGCACTCGTGGGAGCGCTTGTGGTTCATGCTGTCGTAGTATCTTAATTTAGAAAAGTTCGCTGGTTATAATGCCACTGGTTATAATGCCAGTCTGGTTATAAGGCCATGTTGTATTTTTTCTCAGAATAGATTTCCTCAGAGCAGAATTCCTGGTTATATAAGGCCAGTCTGGTTATAAGGCCATGTTTTTTCTCAGAACGGTAATCCTAAGAGCAGAATTCTAGGTTATAATGCCACCGGTTTTAATATGAGTATCGTTATAATGCCACGCTTGTTGTAATACGAATGCTGGTGTGTCTTGTAATACTAATTTGTAAATATATAATATAATAATATTGAATATTGACAACAAATTGGCAATGTAGTTAGGTGACAATTCCTACTTCGAAATCGGCAGACTATTGATCCCAGTTGCCTTAACATCTAATCTTGACGCAGATAATTATCTGCTTTCTTAAAATAACGAAGTCATTAGCTTGATACTAATTATTTTAGCTTTTTCTATACACTCTGTGTGTGTCGTTTTGGTGTTGATAATGTTGCATTTCAACACTATTTCGTTGTCGGTAATGGGTCAGGTTGACATGCAAGTCCTGTTTCAAATCACATGATTTAAGCGTGAAATACTTCCCTTGAGGAATAATATCCACTGACTAGGAGAAATCAGAGGCTCAACTGTGAATCATTGTTGAAACCGAATAACTGCTGTATTTGTGAAATTGACAATGCTACGACAGCTATGGATAACCTTTCTTTTATCTGTCATGCAATTCAAGCACGATTTCCGAAAGCATCCTTTTGCAATGTACAATCTACAGAACTTGACATCTATCATAGGAAATATTATGCTACCTTGACAGACCAATTTCGTTTTTCCATAATCAATGGTCTAAAAGGAAATATCCGTGATGGCTGTTGCTATAGATGGGTTGTTCGGTGCAACCAGCCGTAGACAAGCCTTTTCTTGAGAGCTCAAACAAGCACCAAGGTTAGGAATGGTCATGACCCAGAAAATCTGGAACCTCTATGCCACTGGTGACTTCGCTCCATTCAACCCCCTGATTGGTCAATAAAACCATATTGATGTGAAAGATGGCTTTGCTAATCATTTCAGATGTCATCACCACCCATTCTCGTTCGGGGAATCTCGCATTTGAATTTCCAATTGCTGAAGTATCATTTGAAGATAAAGAATGGAATATTCTGTATTGATCATAATGACCCCATGGTATATGATGAATGCTTCTTGGGGATGTTATGTTACCATAAATAGTCATTATCGAGCAGTGACGTGAAGAATGACGACAGACTTACTGTTTGATAAAGGGGAAGTTGGGTAGCCTAGTGTTTAAAGCGTTCGCTCGTCAAGCCGAAGACCCGGGTTCGATTCCCCACATGGGCACAATGTGTGAAGCCCATTTCTGGTGTCCCCCGCTGTGATATTGCTGGAATATTACAAAAAACCAAACTCACTGTTTGATAAAGGAACTGGCACCTTTTCCGAAACAAAAACAACAACAAATAAACAAGAAACACAAATGATATTCAAAACTACAAATTCACAAATAATGTGTACTTTGACTATGTAGTCTTAAATGCTTGTTAAACATATTAATGTGTGGGAACTTCCAATGACTAGATGACTTGATCACCCATTATGTGAACCTCGCTGTAGTATTCTCGTGATCGAGAATGTAGTATTGGTATGAGGTTCCATAACATCGGCTCTCCAATGATTTACAGATTTACAGGTGTTTTGTGCGTGAGTGAATATAGTTTTACGTCGCTTTTAGCAATATTCCAGCAATATCACGTGGAGGGACACCAGAAATGGACTTCACACACTGTACCAACTGTTGGGAATCGAACCCGGGTCTTCGGCGTGAGAAGCGCAGGCTTTAACCACTAGGCTATCCCAACGCCCCTTTACAAGATGAACAAAATTGTATCAAATAGTGCTGTTTTCTATCATTTGTATCAGCTTATCAGCTTATCAGCTAATCCGCATATAACTTTGACCCAATATTTGTGAAAGTGATTGGCCCAGTATTATGTACCCAGATGATTTGATACTGTTAACTGTCTCGAACATTGCAGTAATCTTCATTGTATACAGACATCAATGTTCTACCAAATCTTTGAAGAGTGTTTCAGTTGCATTATGACCCGTCAGCTCCGTTCAACGTCACAAAATTTGGAATATCTCTATCAGATTTAATAACGTCGGAATCTTGATAAAAAAAAATTTCTAAATTCGCCACAATTGCACAAGGTATTCTCGATGAGTCGAAGCATCTCCCGTTCTACAGATAACATCCAGATCGAGGTTACCGTAGTACATTTCACATCGAAACCATAGAACATTTCAAAGAATTATTCTATCTCAAGTAATTATCCCACGAAAATACTTGTAAAGCCTGGTGAGTGCAATTCCACTGGCACTTTGTATGTACCATTGATCAATGCCCAGAAGACGTCATGTTCTTTTATTGATACTGTCAAGAACGTAATTAATGGAATGGTGCAGATAGGTCACGTATGTACTACCCATGAGGGCAATGGTCAGAGATAAGAAGTCGTCATATGATAATGTGGAATAGAGCTTTCAGACAGATCATCTTACACGGATATGTAAGATACGTAGGCTATGTGTGGCACTTGTTCCTCGAACACTTAGGTAATGAGTGAGTGAGAATGGGTTTACGCCACTTTTAGCAATATTCCAGCAATATCACGGCGTTGGACATCCGAAACGGGCTTCACATATTGCACCATGTGGAGAATCGAACCGGGTCTTCGTCGTGATGCTTTAACCACTAGGCTATCTCACCCCTCCCTTGAGTAATAAGATACTGAAGAATAGCTAAGTATGTTTTATGTGTATCTAAACACTTAGATATGCTTGTATTTATATCAAAACATTCATATGTGAATACATAATGCCCTCCTGGTCGCTGAGTCTGCTAGAGTTAAGTGAGTGAGTGAGTTTAGTTTTACGCCGCACTCAGCAATATTCCTGCTATATGGCGGCGGTCTATAAATAATCGAGTCTGGACCAGACGATCCAGGGATCAACATCATGAACATCGATCTACGCAATTGGGATACGATGACATGTGTCAACCCAATCAGCGAGCCGTTAGTCGCCTCTTACGTCAAGCATGGGTTACTGAAGATCAATTCCAACCCTGATCTTCAAGGGTTGCTAGAGTTAAGCCGTATTCTAAGAGTTTGGGTTGGAATCGCGAATAGGACAACATGTACTACACATCGTAGAACAATCAACTAAAATAGTTACCCCAAATATAACATATGTAACTTTGTAATGCCCATGTAACCAGATGATGAGAAGCTGCTGTAGAAGCAAATACACCATGATGTCAGTAGTATATGACGAAGCTACATGTTTGGACCTTCATGCTTACGACGCTTATGTTTAATTAATTGTTCTCTTGTTTTCTTTGTTACACTTAATATATATACTTTGCCTCCACTTCATATTAAAATTCCTGCTTGACAACGTTACAAGAATTATTATTATTATAGGATATTTATATAGCGCACATATCCACGCAACTAGTACATACTCAAGGCACTGGTATTGTTTCCCTCGATCATTGGATGTCAATCTCATACATTGGATGTATCATCTATCTCAACTCCCCGGGGATCATACACCTCTTGCAGCCACTAGGCGCTCCGAGTTATTGCGGCTTTCTCATCCTTACGAGGTACCCATTCACAGCTGGGTGGACTGGGACACATAGTCACAGTACTTTGTCAAAGTTTACTGCACGTTACTGTACCCGCAACTAGGTGTTTGCACGTATTCATGTGGCCACCATCTGGTCATATACCGACGGATTCGAGGGTTCTTGTGCACAGGGTTGTGTACTGTACACTAGGGTTGTGACAACACTGAAAGAGTCTGCACACAAAGTTGACTCCAGGGTCTTTACACCCGGTCACAGGTTGGCTCGATCTCGACACCTGAAGCTCGCTGGGTCACTAGCCTGGCGCCTTAGCCAGCTCGCCCACCATGCCCCATCTGTATCGAAACGTCGCACACTCATAATAAAGAAGTTGTTATCCATAATGTTTGTCTGTATTATGCTTACCAAGTTTCATATCATCGGAAAACAAAAATATTCCTATTGATATGGTCGTTTTTCCTTGACACACATTGATGTTTCAAGATCATTCATGATATCGCAACAGAACATCTCACAGCATTCAGTAGATAGAACACCCTTGAACTTTCATTGCCTGATGGGTTCAATGGTGTGCACATACGTACTCAGTCATGGATGTGAAATAACGTTTCTCATCCATGCCTATGCAAATATGGCTTAATTTCGATTGGTTGATCAAAGCACCGCGTGACTAGTTTCTGCTAAATCTGCGCTCATAACATGTTTATTGAATAGTTGATCTTTACCAATATATTTGATAAATGGGTTGTTATATTGCTTTGATATTGCCGTTGCGAGGTTAGAGTTGAACTCACTGGCTGAAAAAAACAGGCCAAACAACTATTATCGTATATGGTTGATGAAGCTGTATCAATGCTATCTGAGGATATTATTAACATTTATGTGTAAATATTATTACTAATATACTCTGTATGATCAGTTTCCATGACTGTCAAATCATTTCAAATTATTGCATATTGAATCATATCCTTCTTTGATCTGTTGACAGGATTACACCATTACCATGTATCTAAACCAATACTGGCGAGATGACCGCCTCCAGTTTTCGGGAGGCAACGAGAGTATGACGCTCACGGGAGAATTTGCCGAGAGGATATGGGTACCTGACACGTTTCTGGCCAATGACAAAAACTCATATCTTCATGATGTCACCGAAAAAAATAAAATGATTCGTCTCTATGCCAACGGATCAATCGTTTATGGAATGAGGTGAGTTTTTGAGCTAGCACTGAAATGTATTCCAGCGGACATTCAATAATTAAAGCTCCATCGTCCAAATTGCATTCCTCGAAACGAATGAATTTGAATGTCGGAGTATTATCAATTTTCTTAGTCTGAATGAATGCAATCCAAAACGTCATGGATGTCTTGTCAAGCACATTTGAAAATCGCAAATTAAATATTACAAAATGAAATACCTTTAACGTTGTGTTATTCAAGGTGTATATCGGTTTATAATTCAACCAATTTAGTAAATACGTTCAGCACGGCTTACCGTACATATTGTATCTGCATTTTAAAGTCATTACACCAATCAACAACTCTCTGTACAATTCTCCAGTTGTCGTTAAGATCGTATCTACACAAGCCTAATGCGGCAAGGTTTACCAAAGTATCGTTGAGAGGTCAGAAGGAACTATCTCTAACTATGATTCCTTCCGTTTACAGGCGTTGTCAATGTAATCAATATGAAAGCTCTTTTCTAACACGAAAAGCTACGATTGCTTTATTCAGTCTCGAATGTTTTCTTTGATGTTAAATCACGTTAAAGTGGATGCTTGAAAAATGCATTGATTTCTCTCTAAAGATCCTGAAAGTTTGCAAAGTCCCTATCTCAGTCCGCTTGAATCTAGAAACCACTACTTGTGTGAGGTCACCATAGACATTTGCAAAGAATTTTTTTTCTGTCGGTTTATAAGGCTTCTCAAGATCTCACAGACATCTTTTGTATGATATAATAGTTAATATTTAACGTTACTCTTGCTTAATTCCTAATGTGCATGAAAATTACATGATAGAGTATTCAAACGTGGATACGACTATTTGGACAAGTGAAACAATATGTTTTCTGTCATGTGAATGTCACCCATATTGATGTGTCAGGGAAGATCATGTTACATGAACGGTCACTCTGTTACACCCCATATCGATGTGTCAGAGACGATCATGTTACATGAACGGTCACTGTGACACCACATATCGATGTGTCAGAGACGATCATGTTACATGAACGGTCACTGTGACACCTCTTATTGATGTGTCAGAGACGATCATGTTACATAAACGGTCGCTTTGTGACACCTCATATGGATGTGTTAGAGAAGATCATGTTACATGAACGGTCGCTCTGTGACACCTCATATCGATGTGTCAGAGACGATCATGTTACATGAACGGTCACTCTGTTACAACCCATATCGATGTGTCAGAGACGATCATGTTACATGAACGGTCACTGTGACACCACATATCGATGTGTCAGAGAAGATCATGTTACATGAACGGTCACTCTGTTACACCCCATATCGATGTGTCAGAGACGATTATGTTACATGAACGGTCACTCTGTTACAACCCATATCGATGTGTCAGAGACGATCATGTTACATGAACGGTCACTCTGTGACACCACATATCGATGTGTCAGAGAAGATCATGTTACATAAACGGTCGCTTTGTGACACCTCATATGGATGTGTTAGAGAAGATCATGTTTCATGAACGGTCGCTCTGTGACAACTCATATCGATGTGTCAGAGAAGAGCATGTAACATGAACGGTCACTCTGTTACACCTCATATCGATGTGTTAAAGAAGAACATGTTGCATGAACTGTCACTCTATAACACCTCATATCGATGTGACAGAGAACAGCATGTTACATGAGTGGTCACTCTATAACATCGCATATCGATGTGTCAGAGAAGAGCATGTTACATGAACTGTCACTCTATAACACTTCATATCGATGTGACAGAGAACAGCATGTTACATGAACTGTCACTCTGTGACACTTCATATCGATGTGTCAGAGAAGAGCATGTTACATGAACTGTCACTCTATAACACTTCATATCGATGTGACAGAGAACAGCATGTTACATGAACTGTCACTCTGTGACACCTCATATCGATGTGTCAGAGAAGAGCATGTTACATGAACTGTCACTCTATAACACTTCATATCGGTGTGTCAGAGAAGAGCATGTTACATGAACTGTCACTCTATAACACTTCATATCGGTGTGACAGAGAACAGCATGTTACATGAACTGTCACTCTATAACACTTCATATCGATGTGACAGAGAAGAGCATGTTACATGAACTGTCACTCTATAACACCTCATATCGATGTGTCAGAGAAGAGCATGTTACATGAACTGTCACTCTATAACACTTCATATCGATGTGACAGAGAAGAGCATGTTACATGAACTGTCACTCTGTGACACCTCATATCGATGTGTCAGAGAAGAGCATGTTACATGAACTGTCACTCTATAACACTTCATATCGGTGTGTCAGAGAAGAGCATGTTACATGAACTGTCACTCTATAACACTTCATATCGGTGTGTCAGAGAACAGCATGTTACATGAACTGTCACTCTATAACACTTCATATCGATGTGACAGAGAACAGCATGTTACATGAACTGTCACTCTGTGACACCTCATATCGATGTGTCAGAGAAGAGCATGTTACATGAACTGTCACTCTATAACACTTCATATCGGTGTGTCAGAGAAGAGCATGTTACATGAACTGTCACTCTATAACACTTCATATCGGTGTGTCAGAGAAGAGCATGTTACATGAACTGTCACTCTATAACACTTCATATCGATGTGACAGAGAAGAGCATGTTACATGAACTGTCACTCTATAACACCTCATATCGATGTGACAGAGAAGAGCATGTTACATGAACTGTCACTCTATAACACCTCATATCGATGTGTCAGAGAAGATCATGTTATATGAACGGTCACTGTGACACCACATATCGATGTGTCAGAGACGATCATGTTACATGAACGGTCACTGTGACACCACATATCGATGTGTCAGAGACGATCATGTTACATGAACGGTCACTGTGACACCACATATCGATGTGTCAGAGAAGATCATGTTATATGAACGGTCACTGTGACACCACATATCGATGTGTCAGAGACGATCATGTTATATGAACGGTCACTGTGACACCACATATCGATGTGTCAGAGACGATCATGTTACATGAACGGTCACTGTGACACCACATATCGATGTGTCAGAGAAGATCATGTTACATAAACGGTCGCTTTGTGACACCTCATATGGATGTGTTAGAGAAGATCATGTTTCATGAACGGTCGCTCTGTGACAACTCATATCGATGTGTCAGAGAAGATCATGTTACATGAACGGTCGCTCTGTGACACCTCATATCGATGTGTCAGAGAAGATCATGTTACATGAACGGTCACTCTGTGACACCTCATATCGATGTGTTAAAGAAGAACATGTTGCATGAACTGTCACTCTATAACACCTCATATCGATGTGACAGAGAACAGCATGTTACATGAGTGGTCACTCTATAACATCTCATATCGATGTTTCAGAGAAGAGCATGTTACATGAACTGTCACTCTATAACACTTCATATCGATGTGACAGAGAACAGCATGTTACATGAACTGTCACTCTGTGACACTTCATATCGATGTGTCAGAGAAGAGCATGTTACATGAACTGTCACTCTATAACACTTCATATCGGTGTGTCAGAGAAGAGCATGTTACATGAACTGTCACTCTATAACACTTCATATCGATGTGACAGAGAACAGCATGTTACATGAACTGTCACTCTGTGACACTTCATATCGATGTGTCAGAGAAGAGCATGTTACATGAACTGTCACTCTATAACACTTCATATCGATGTGACAGAGAACAGCATATCGGTGTGTGTGTCAGAGAAGAGCATGTTACATGAACTGTCACTCTATAACTCGGTGTGTCAGATAACACTTCATATCGGTGTGTCAGAGAAGAGCATGTTACATGAACTGTCACTCTATAACACTTCATATCGATGTGTGTCACTCTATAACACCTCATATCGATGTGTCAGAGAAGACTATGTCATATGAACGGTCACTCTGACACCTCGGTGTCATCAATGTCACTCTATAATACAGAGAAGAAGGAATGAAAAGTCATTCGGCGTCAGCTCATATCATGAGAAATGGTGTGTCAATAATTTTAACAAGGATGTAAATGGCGGTTTTAAATTGAATCTTCAGCCAAACAAATTAAACCTTTTTATTCATATTTGACAAGAAAGGTTTTACAAATTGATATTTTGTTCAGGAAATGTATAATTAAACAATTACTTTTTTAAGAATTCATTCAGAGTAGCACACCCAACTGTGATTAAACATACAATATCTGTTCCCAATTGACTTGTCTTTTCTCAGCGGAAACTTTTTCCCCTCTTCATTCTTGTGTTCTATTACGAAAACCAATTCCAAGCTTGTTTCGTGAATTGCAGGATGTCTTGGTTGATTCATGTAACTTTAATTGTTTCCAGGTTCACGACAACTCTGGCATGTATGATGGATTTACATAATTATCCCCTCGACCAGCAAAAGTGTTCAGTTGAGATTGAAAGTTGTAAGTACACCATACTGACAGTTGAAATAGATTCGATTTAATCAACGCTCCTGCTTCTGAACCAATAGTCTGGAAACAGAAGAATATTCATTGCAACATGCCTAACTTTCAGTAGTACGCGTTGGAGAAACCCAACGTTCAAGAAAACATATTTTCGTGTTATTATCATAGAAGTACATTTTCTTTGATCTTCTCGTCCTGTTTTTATACGTCTAGGGTTTGCTTCCTGCAACAGCGACTTTGAAGCAGAGTTTGTTTTAGCAGTAGACACTTTTCCTTGCACAGTATGTTAAATTATCTTTTGAGTATTTTCCTCTGTTTTGATGACTCTCGAAGGGTAAAATGACATAAGGAAATTGACTCTTTGCGCAGCCTACACAGATGTTAGGCCGGAGAACAAAAGTGTGGAAATAGGTGTCAACCCTGAGGTACCCACTATAAATTGGGTTTAAACGACGTTATTATTCCGCAGTGTGTATCATAACAAAGCCAGTGCATGGCGTGTGTTTCTGGTTATTTCTGCTTAGTTATCTGAATAACTTTATAGAGAGTTGGTGCAGTGTGTGAAATAGTTTCCAAATTTTGCTAGCCAGTCGGGCTAGCTATGCCTGAAAGTTACTAGCCCACGAAATAATTCACTAGCCCGAAATTTGAATGTAGACACGGGTTTCATCATTAAGCTGCTAACATGATGAACATTTTTATTAGGCCATAATCTTGCATGATTTAAAAGTGTATTATAACTTAACAAGTCGGAGAGTGTGATACATTTACAAAATGACCCCATTGTGAAAATTAACTTGCCAATCGGGCCAGTGACTGTGAAAATGTACTGGCCCGACTGGATGTTTACTAGGCACGGGCTAGCGGGCCAGTGGCTATTTCGCACACTGAGTTGGTGAGTGACTTTGGTTTCACGCCGCTTTTAGCAACATTCCAGCAATATCTCGGCGGGGACACCAGAAATGGGCTTCATACCCATGTGGGGAATCGGACCCGGGTCTTCAGCGTAACGAACGAACGCTTTAACCACTAGTTATCCCGAATAACTTTATAGCAATGACTTGCGTTAAATTTATATTTTACGTTCATTATTTCAAAATAATAACCTAAAAGTGAACAAACATCATATATTTACGTTATTCTTGTTTGCACAATTAAGTTATGCACATGACTGAACCTGACTGAATAACTATAGACACAATCTCTAGATATCGGGCAACATTATGACGGCACATTAGGCCCTGCAGTGTCAATCGTAGTGTCACATTATTTTCTGGAGCCACAGGTGACTTCGATAGTCTTCGAGATTTCGAGTTAAAGAGTTTTCATAAATCTTCTTGATATTGACAAGTAGGTCCATAGCTGCATGAAGTCTTGGATCTTCTCTTGCTAAGAGTGGCCAGGTGTTTTCTTCTGTACGAAAAGAATCTCATTATTGAAAATAGTCAGACATGCAGAGAAAGCTATTACATGGAATAGATGAGCGAAACATAAAGCAATATAGCCGACGAGCCTACAAAAATACATTCCTTCCTCGAAATACTGCTAATTAGAAAGTGATTTGTTGCTGCAATACATTCTCTCTTTTATGCAACATTCTACAAAATGCATAATATAATGGAGCATGAAAAATTGCATGTCAGTTCAAGAAGCCCATAATCTTTCTTTTGCTGTTTAAACAGACCATTTCCTTTGTGCTAATCAAAATTGTTTTTGTGCATCGTTAAAGAAACGTTGCTTCAACACATCTGAGCTGATGGTTTGTTTTTATCCTAAATATTTACGACAATGTTTATATACAACGGGCGGTCTTGCAATGGCGTGAAAAACACGTAAACTGCAATGTTATTAAGCATGACAGTGACAGCGCAATTTCTAGCATGTCATCTCCCAAATAGATACCACCGTCTGAATGACATCTAAAGATTGGCTTGCCGTACGATGTCTGTTTTAAATCGATTGATCAGCAAGATTAGATGTACAATAAAAAGTCAGATCATAAGCCAAGCCAACATGACAACGTTAGTACCCACTTTACGACGTGTCCATAAAACTCTCTGAAAATGCAAATGCAATATTTCCTGAAAAGCACTAAAACATGCCTGCAGGGTGTGAAGAGTGGAGTGTCCACGTCGGAGTGTCCACGTCGGATTGTCCACGTCGTAATGGAACGCATCATTGTGTGACAAGTCAATCACATACCGAATGTTGTATGATGTTCCATTTGTCGTCTCCCGAAGTACTTAGTCCATGATATGTGTATTACAATATCAGGTTTTTAGACAAGCTCAATATTGACAGAATATACAGTGAAAAATCGCCATTTAACATATAAACGAGTCTTACAACCTTGTGTTTACAAAAAACAAGAAATAAAAAAACCTGATTCTGTGAGATGTGAATTGGAATAATATCAACACAAATATATTCTTTCTTTCGTTCTTTTTCTAAAACTGCCAGTCTAACCTATAGAAGCCACGCGATAGAAACATACTTCGACAAACGATTTGCCAATTCCAGCAAAACGCTTTGTCTGTTTTTCGACTTACACGACACCTTGGTATTTACGATCGGATCATCTAGTAAAGTCATCTTACTGTCTGAAGCATCTGTGTAATTATTTGACAACACTAGCACTTCCATTCGTTTACTACCCGGGTTACCAACCAACTGTGCCATGGCATATGATATGTACACAACTCGTCAGGTGATACTATCAACAACTATTTCGGGAAACCATCTGTTTACTACTAGCACCACGACTAATGAGACTTAATATCATATATCAAGAGAATGTAGTTTGTGATTGTATTCTGTACTATATCCGATTCAATGCATCATCATGTACTAACACCCATGAAGATTCAGGTTAGAATTGATCTTCAACAACCCATGCTTGTAATGGATACGGTGGTCAGGCACGCTGACCTAGTTGACACATGTCACCGTATCCCATCGACGTGGAGCAATGCTCATGATGTCAATCACTGGATTGTCTGTTCCAGATTCGATTATTTACAGACCGCCGACATACAGCTGGAAAATTGCTGAGTGCGGCGTTAAACAACTCACAAACAAACATGCACGATATATGTAAAGAGCGATCTTCAGTGTCAACGTGCCTGTTTCTGAAGGATGAGGTCGGCAAAAATCACTGCCTCTATGACGTCATTGCCAAATTTGAAAATGTACAGGCAAGTCTTCCATCAATACATTTCATCTTGGATGAATATAACCGTCTTGTTTGTGTGCCCGATGATAACAGTACTCCATTTCTATAGCGTATTCAGCAAACCCACTAAAGAAGATATGTAATTGAAACGTTTTTTGCAAAAAAGCTGCCACCGGGGTATATTCTTTGTACAGTTAACAATACAAACAGTCTCTACGAAAGTAGTCTCACACGGCGTCTTCTAGATTGACATTATACAGCATCAGAAATGAAATGTATACATATCATTCTATAAATCAAATTTATGTGCCCTCTAGGTAAGTAATTGCTGGAGTTATTCGCTATGGTTCAAATTTGTAAGAGACTGATTCGATTTTAAACCCTTTCTGAAAGTGGTTTCGCTTGAGCATTGATTTTTCTTTCCCGGGCACGTGTCTCGTAGTATAGATTTCCGTTTCCAAAAATGATATTAACATCAAAATTACACACACTCTGCTGTACGTCGATAAATCAAACAGCACACATGTCATATCAGACCGACATTAAATCACATCTTCCTTAAAAAATCATTTTAATTGCGTTCGATCGTATTTATTGATGAAGTGTTAGCCCAATTAGGAGGCATATGCACAGATCTAAAATTATGCATTGCTTTTATGAAATATAGCTTCTTGCCATTGTCAAACATATGTAGGCATTTCCATGAGATGATTGTTTAACTCTTTTACCTCAAAAGGCTTACATTAAAATCCATTATTAAACACAGAAAGTCAGATAACCACTTGGTAGTGTGTTTTCAATAGTTTTATCTTCATCTTGATGAATATATACAACGTCGGTCATTTTAGGAATCATATAGCTCTGAGTTATTCTGACATGAGAAATATTACATAGCAAACAAAACAATTATTTATTACTGCTTACCGTGAAGATCCGAGTAGCGATCTTCAGCAAGCCATTCAAGACGTAAGATGTTAACACGATACTCAGATTATCTGCCTTGGTTATCCCAGTAACGTAGATCGATGCTCATGATGTCAATCATTGGATTGTCTGGTCCAGACTCGATTACTGGCAGATTGCCGTCATAGAGCTGGAATATTGCTGAGTGTGGCGTTAACATTAAAACCAACAAACACCATAACTCACTGGTCATATCTATAAATGTTAAGTGAGAAATAAATGGCATTTTTGCTCCGGAACATTAAGTAAGATCAAAATTCGTCTACTGCCGAGACAGGATATTTATTCTTTAGTAATAGTTTCATACATCAGTGTCGCAGAAATGTTTATGTCCTCATGCTTTATAGCTACACGTTTATTTAAACACTTCAAGTGTTTTTTGACAACGACATACGATGACATGAAATAAAATCTTCACCTTGCATTTTTCAGGACACAAACCCACGTTCTGAACTATCAATATACACAAGGTTTCTGTGACCTGAAATTATATTTTTTCTAACCCTTTTTTCCAAGTTAGAATGGCATCCAATAACACAACATTGATAGCATGTTAAATAACACAGCCTTACATATGGCCATTCACTTCCAGTTTAAACTGAATTCAGCATCTTTTTCATGTGTGCAAGAAAGCGTTAGTGGCATCGTATTGCAGTAAATTATGTCATTAAAAAATGGCTTTATTGATCACCCGCTGTGGAGACGTAACCTCATTTTTTGCGACCAATACTAGGATTTAATAACAAATACTCAACGTCTTCAACAAAACATTCAGTGATAGGCAGTTTTATTGATTCCGTCTCATCGATTTTCTTCAAGTTCATACGATAAGCAGAGACGTTTTGTTTACTTGGTGATGTTT